GAGTACTGTGAGGAGATCTTCTCAATATAATCGCTTTTTTTGCAACAGCATTCATTTCGACTAGTCTTCTCGACTTTTTTCTCAAAATTTAAAAATCTTGTTTGAGATATGTGTATAGTTGCTTTTCTCCAGGTTTTGATGAATACATGAATGTCGTTTTGGACGAAGCTGAGGAGCTGAACATGAAAACTCAAAGCCGCAACAAGCTGGGTCGTATTCTGCTCAAAGGTGATAACATCACGATGATTCACGCCGTTACCGTATAAGTATTGCGTTTTATTCGTACAGAATAGCGTTGACTATTGCACCTGTGTTTTCGTGTTGTTGTCGGATCTCGTTTCCGTGTTATGAATAATTTGTTTCTTTTTTAAACTTTATATGCTGAAGTAAATTGTTTGAGCGCAAAATTTGGTTTTAATTTACTTGTTCTGGTCAAATTAATGCCTGAGACGTTAACAATGTGATCTGTATGCACAAATCTTTCTATTAAGATGATAGTCAGTATAGAAGCTCTATGTTTGCTTCTGTTCTCATTCGTCTATGTTCACGGTATATTGAATGCTGGCATACAGCTACGCATTGAGGAGCTTTTTGATGCTCCTGTGCACACTAACAACTGGGCTGTAAGTTCACTTCTACCCACTGCTTTTGAATCTTCTACTTAGTCTCCCCATAGGTACTGGTGTGTACGTCACGATTTTGGTTCAACTACCGCCATGTATCCAATGTGCTTGCTTTATATCATACGGTCAAGAGGCTAGGTATTCCTGACAGGTGAGACAGGAGAGGTTTGATACAAAAGTTGTTATTAGTTATAATCTCCGTTTTGAATTTGGGACACGCGCTGCATTTTTTTTTGCGTGGATCTATCCTTCCGGAGACTATCTGAAATGCTACATTATTGTCGACAGTAGATATTCAATGCGTACAGACACTGTAAAACTTTTTATGCATTTGCAACAGGCTTACGCGATAGCATTTATAATCAGTGACGCCGAGTCTGGAATCCAAAAGCATAAGAGCTATAGCCATTTGAGTGCATGTTCGGACTGTGATATTGGAGTTCGTTATTCTACTCCTTAATTGTATGGAAAGAATAAAGTCCGGATTTGGTCCTTTTTTCAAAATTTTATAAATTTTAGCATATCATTCACTTAGAACAATATGTGTATTTCAGCAACATCATACTGATGCTTGCGGAAGATGTCCCATGTAATCCAAGAAATCCTCGGCCAGGCAAGTTGCATCCTCAGTATCCCTATCTCTTAATCTTTTAAAAAAAATTCCATTCATAATGGAAATGTTTTTGAACTTTCATACTCATTCAATTTCCACCTCTTGTTGTAGTGGCAGATTTCACTGTAGAATTTGCTATGGTTCTATGATAATGAGTGAGCCATCACTTCCAGGTCTAACTGCACTCTATGCATCAAACTCACTCGTAATCCCAGTGCTTATATTACCTCTATCAAAAGGCAGTATTAAGGCAAATCATCAGTTTTCATTTTGAAGAGATCATTGTGGCCAACCTCTTTTAAAAAAGCAAATTTGTCCTAGGAACAAACCATTTCA